TTGTTTTTTTTTGGTTTAATGATTCGGTTATCGGACACTTGTGTAACATGAAGATTAGCTATGATATTGCATGCAGAGTTTGTGAGGCGCAACGTATTTTTTCATCGCTTTGTTCCACGTAATGTTCTTGAAGATTCCATTATTTTGATCTTATTTTCAGAAAAATCACAATATATTTTGTTTGTTTCTGCTTTATGGTACTAAGAGTTCATGATACGTATTCCGTTCCCTGTTAATTATACAGGGGAGTTCGTAAAGTCTATTTATATACTTTTCTGTTGGTAATCTTCTGAAGAGTTTGCGATGCATATTTTCCAGCTCTTGCTTCTGCTACATGTTCTGGGCAATGGTTCCATGTCTCTATGATGATAATAACAACGTCCCTTACACAACTAGGAAAGCTTAAGAGATCATATAATTTATTTCTTTTCTACACTAGCGTCCCCGGTTTGATCTTCGTCTGCGGAGGAATAATGTACTTGCTCTGTAACGCCCCCGTGTTGAGGTCGTGGGGCACACCCCCCTTCAGCTCCTTCTTCAGGTCCTGCAGGAGGGCGTGCTTGAGCCTCCCGTTCACCATAACCGCGTCATTATTCGCCGGCGGATGGTGACGGCCGTTCGTATAGTCCCCGTTGAAGTCGCTGGTGGGCTGAGGCTGTAAGGTGTACGGAGGCAGAGACTCGGACGAAGGAAGCGACGAAGGCTGATCACTCGCCGGCGTGTAGCAGCTGTAGGGGCCTCCGATCTGGAAGTGGGCGCTGGACTCAGTGGGACTCACGGGAACCCTCAGGTAGTCCCTGGTGTAGTCCACATAAGGCATGTAGTCGTCATCCTAAAAAGAGGAAGAGCAGGGAAGGCTGTTTTAAGATTCTGCTGGCGACTTAAAAGGTGTTTGGAGTCGACGGCAATAGAAATAGAGTAAGTACCGGAAGAGAAGAGAAATAGAGGAGAAACTATCTATTCGTATAGACATAAAATTCAGTTCACGAAAACATAAGGAGTAATACAGAGTTTTTAGACATCAGACAAAGAGATTTCGTATCATTTTCTTAACCTACAAAAGGGCTTTCAAAATACACAATCTACAGTCCTCAGATGGTTCTCTATAACTAAGATAGTAGTAAATTTCATGAAGCAAAAGGAGTAGAAGAAGAAAAAACAGACGGTTAAGAATAACAAAAGGAAGAGAAGTAAATGGACGAATAGGAAAATAAAAGAAAATGAGAATAACAAGAGGACACAAAGAAGAAGAAACACATAAAAGATAAAAGAAAAGGGAGACAAGGCAGAACGCACACACAAAAAAGAAAATAATAAAAGATAACGAAAGAAAAAAGAGGCAGAAAACAAACGAAAGAGCAAGAAGGAAAATAACACACACATCTATATACACAGATAACCTACGGGAGGGGGGAACACTGTGGTCGCTGAGGTGTAGTGTGCACGACTCAGGGAGGGGGTTAAGTCGCGTTTACCCGAACAATTGGTGCTGTTCTTCTCCCAGCCGCTGTCTGACTCTCTCTCGCCCTCAGACAAGGACGAGTTGGCCCTCGACCTCTCTTCCTTGTTGTCCGAGTCCTGGTGGTAAGAGAGGGAGGGGGTGTATAAGAAAAAGGAAGGAAGATGTGTTTACGAAAAGGAGGACGTGGTGTTTAAGGGAAGGGGATGAGTGGTAAGAGACGGGGGAGGTGTTTAGGAAGAGAAAGATGGAGGAAGAGGTGGTTCAGAGAAGGAACTGGTGCTTAAGAGAAGAAAAAGCTGCTAAAGGAGATGTATAAGAGAGAGGACAGATGTTTTAAGAAAAGGGATGTTCTACAGAAGGAAGAGGTCTTTAAGAAAAAAAAGAACTGGTGCTAAAGAGACGGAACAGATACTTAAGAGAAAGAACAGGTGTTTAAGAGACGGAATAGCTATTTCAGAGACGTGACAGATGCTCAAGAGAAGAAACAGGTGCTTACGTGAAGGAAGAGATTCTTAACAAACAGACCAAACGCTTAACTATATTTCATTGCCATTTATCGAGATTAAGCTATTTTAAATACAAGTTTAGAATACACGTGTTGTTATCCTGATGTCAGCTTACACGTGATTAAATATCTTACTTTCCTCCAGGCTTATATAACGCAAAACGGATGTATCCTTTCGACATCCTTCGCTATTTTGGCGTCTACTCTAACCTTATCTATTCCTTTGAGTCTTTGAGGAAAAGGTGTTGAAAATAAAGCTCCCTTAATGCTCGGAAGGCGTGGGCCGCTCTCGGAATCATTCTCTTCGAGAAAAATAAACAAATAGAATAAACTGCGTTTCCGGATGTGCTTCGGGCTTCATCAGAGTTCATGGATGGCAGGAAGACTCGTTCTATTGTTGGCTTCACGGAAAGGTCTTTGTGGTGTCTTCGATTGCTGTGTGACTCTCTTTAAAGACATAGGTCTTTGTGTAGGTTTGCTTATATGGGCACACACACACAACACACACACGTGTGTGTGTGTGTGTGTGTGTGTGTGTGTGTGTGTGTGTGTGTGTGTGTGTGTGTGTGTGTGTGTGTGTGTGTGTGTGTGTGTGTGTGTGTGTGGTCACGTCTATATAAATGCATCTAGAGATACGTATGTCTACATCAGTATCTCTATCACCAGACTGCACAGAGCATTTTCATGAAGCTTAAGAATAACATTCATCAACTCTAACACACTCCTAAGAGAGAGAAAGAGAGAGAGAAAGAGAGAGAGAGAGAGAGAGAGAGAGAGAGAGAGAGAGAGAGAGAGAGAGAGAGAGAGAGAGAAAGAAAGAAAAAGAAAAGGAAAAGGATAAGGGAAGGGAGTGGTAAAGGGAAAGGGAAAGGGAAAGAGATAGAAAAAGAGAAAGAGACATATAAACATATAAACAGACTGACAGGCATAGATTTTTTTACATTTTGTTTATACGTATTCCGGAGTATCTCTTGACATCGAGATAAATGTCTATGTTTACTTTATGACTCTGGAAAGATACAAAAAAGCAATTGCTAACCATGTGATGCCGTAGATAAACATAGATACAAATTCAGATTTTTTTGTTTTTGTTTTTGATTCCAGAGATACATACAGATATAGATCACTATTTACTCTTTGACTCTAGAGGTACATACATGACCTTCTTTAGAGCGTGCCTTAAAAGACTTGGATACAGACATGTGGCAAAAGAGAAAGGGATAAAGACAGAGGAAAAGACAACAAAGATGCAGACATATGACTAAATAGGTAGCGACAAACATGTGGCAGGAGAGACAGATCATCAGACATGCGATTAAACAGACAGAGATAGACAGGCGAAGGAGATACGGACATGTGACAGAAGAGAGTGATACAAACGTGGCAAAAGAGATAGAGATACACATATGTGACGAAACACTCAGAAGCACAGACAAATGGCAGAAGAGGCAGAGACACAAGTATGTAAAAATGAGACAGAAATACACATACCTAAACAGACAGAGATAAGGACATGTAACAACGGAGACAGAGACACAGACATATGACTAAACAGAAATAAGGACATGTGACAACGGAGACAAGAGACACAGACATGTGACTAAACAGAGATAAGGACATGTGACAACGGAGACAGAGACACAGACTAAAGAGACGTGCCTCCGCGGCCCCGACTGCCCGCGCGCCTCACCTTGCCCGTGGACCGAGCGTCGGCCGGGATGAGGTTGGGCAGCACCTTCTCCGTCTGGCCCAGCTCGATGCTCCCTCCGTTGACGTCCGGCGTCTCGTGGTGCTTGCCGCTGATGCCGTTCGCGAAGGCGCCCTTCTCGGCGGCGTCGGCCTTCTCCTTCCGCTCCTTCGGCCGGCATCCGCACAGGATGAAGAAGATGACGAGGATGACGACGAGGACGACGCCGCCTCCGCCGCCCACGATGACCATGAAGGGGATGAGGGCTGTGGGGGGGAGGGGGAAGGCGTGGGGTTTTAGGGGCGGTTTTGCTCTCGCTGGGGTTGTCTTTTTCATTTTAGATTTTGTGGCATTTTCCCCTTTCTTTCTCTCTCTCCCTTCTCTTCCTCCCTCCCTATCTCCCTCCCTCCTTCTCTCCCATCCACCTATCACCTCTTTCCCTCCCTTCGTCCCTCAATCCATCCATCCATCCCTATCCCTCTCTTCCCTATTCCTCCCCTTTATCTACAACCTTCATCCCTTCCTCCCCCCATCCCTCCCTCCCACCCATCCCCCTTCCCTCCCTCCCTCCCTCCACCTCCTCCTCCTACTCAATCCATCCCTTCTTCCCACCCATCTTTACTTCCCGCCTCCCTCCCTCCCTCCCTCCCTCCCCCCATCCCTCCCTCCCCCCATCCCTCCCTCCCACCCATCCCTCCCTCCCACCCATCCCTTCCTCCACCCACCCCCTCCTCAATCTATCCCTCCATCCACACCCCCAACCTCCCCTCCCCCCCAAAAAAAAAAAAAAAATCCCTTCACAGATTAGCTTCCAACTCACGCGGCCTCTGAAGGATGATCTGCTGGGTCCCGACGCCGTACTCGTTGATGACTGTGCAGTTGTAGGAAGCGAAGTCATCCTGAGAGACGTTGTAGATGGTCAGCGTGGACACGACGCCGTCCGCCCTCTGGTCCTCCTTCACTTCCCAGTCGCCGTCTGCCGGGAGGGAGGCGGGGGCTATGAAGGGCGGGGCTATGAAGGGTGGGGGCTGTGAAGGGCGGGGGCTATGAAGGGCGGGGCTATTAAGGGCGGGGGCTATGAAGGGCGGGGGCTGTGAAGGGCGGGGCTATTAAGGGCGGGGGCTATGAAGGGCGGGGGCTGTGAAGGGCGGGGCTATTAAGGGCGGGGGCTATGAAGGGCGGGGGCTGTGAAGGGCGGGGGCTGTGAAGGGCGGGGGCTGTGAAGGGCGGGGCTATGGAGGATGGGGCTATGAAGGGCGGGGCTATAAAGGGTGGAGGCTGTGAAGGGCGGGGCTATGAAGGGCGGGGCTATGAAGGGCGGGGGCTGTGAAGGGCGGGGCTCTGAAGGGCGGGGCTATGAAAGGCATAGGGTTTGGGGCAATGGTTTGTCTACCTGTTTTATGTATGTGTTTTATTGTAATATGTTTGGAAATGCTGCATTAGGGAATCTTAAAAAAAACACATACACACCCCGGGTATTCAAACACCTGACAGGCACTCAAATAAGCGCACACACACACACACACACACACACACACACACACACACACACACACACACACACACACACACACACACACACACACACACCCAAGACACATCCCCCTCCACGCCACCCACCCAAAAACACACACACATTCCCCCCAACACACCAACATACAAAATACACCCTCTACCCCCTTCCCCCCTCCCTTACCCCCACCCCCCCTCTAACCCCTAAGGAAACCTCACCCGAACTTACCAGGACTGAGACTCACGCCCTCCTTCTCCCACGTGAGCGACACGGGGTGGGGCACGGAGACCACGGAGCAGCGCAGGACGGCATTCTGTCCCTCGCGAACGACCAGCACCGAGGTCGTCTTGATCCTCGGAGGGCCACGGAGTCTGAGGTGGAGTTGGGCGTCCAGGGCAGGGAAGTTGTCGCTGCGGGCGGAACACACGTACACGCCCGCCGTCGCTTTGGAGGCTTCGATGGTCAGTTCCTCGCCTGTGCCGACCAGCTGTGTGGGTGTGGGAGGGGGGGGGGGAGAAAAAAAGGGAGGGGTTAGGGGTTTCGTTCGGGATATTTACTTTTTCTGATTTTGTGTATCATGATCTGAATGATTTAGATTTTAAGGCTCCTTAACAAATTGATTAGTTTCTCTATTGTTATTGTTAATATCATCATTATCATTATTATTACCATTATCCCTATTATAGTTATTAGTGTCATTATTATCATTATTATTATTACTACTATTGTTATTGTTATTATCATTTTATTATTATCATTGTTGTTATTGTTATTATTATTGTTAATAGTATTACTATTATTATTTTATTATTACTGTCGCTATTATTATTATTATCATTATTCTTATTCTTCTTCTTCTTCTTATTATTATTATTATTATCATTATTATTATTATTATTATTATTATTATTATTATTATTATTATCATTATTATTATTATTATCATTATCATCATCATTACTATCATTATCATCATCATTACTATCATTATCATTGTTATTATTGTTAATAGTAATAACAATTTTAGCAACTGAATTAACACTCCTAGCAACAAATAGTGCTCTAAAAAGGTTATAAAAATTTATGAATGTTTGTTACAACATAGTTATGATGTTTGTCCTGGATGAGTCAGTCAGAAGTTCATGATTATAAAAGAAATACGAGTCCATGACTACTGCCTAGAAAACGAAAAAAAAAGAAAAAAAAAAAAAAAAAAAAAAGGAAAAAAAAGAAAAAAAAAAGAAAAAAAAGGAAAAAAAAGAAAAAAAAAGAAAAAAATACATATATATATATATATATATATATATATATATATATATATATATATATATATATATATATATAAGGATTAGAGCATTAAACTCTCTTAATCTTGCCACCCGCCCTTATCTGTCATCTCACCTCGTTGTCCCGGAGTCTCGACCAGTAAATTTCTGCCGTGGGGTTGGCGTCCACGCGGCACTTCATCGTCACCATGTTCCCGATTTCGCCCGACACGCTGCTCGGCTCAGCTAGGAACATGGGCGGGTCTGGAGGGCGAAAAGGGCAAGGCATCTTCAATAAAGTGTGCATATAGATGAACAGCGTCACTCAGTCATCGTGAATGCAGCGAGAAAGTGGGACAACCATGCGGCGTGTCCGGGAGTGTAAACTTGTATAGATCTTAGGTGGAGATAGAGAGAGATAGATCAATGATTTTATGATTGCGGTGAAGACAGTTTGACGGAAGAAAAATGTTTATAGGGAGGGGAGGCGGATGTACGCACGCGCTTACGTTAGCACGAACACACACACACACACACACACACACACACACACACACACACACACACACACACACACACACACACACACACACACACACACACACACACACAGTCACACACTCACTCACTCACACTCACACACACACACACACACACACACACAAACACACACTCACTCATGAGGAAAAGAGAGAGAGAGTGAAAGAGAGAAAAAGAAAAACGAGACAGAGAGTGCAATCTTGGCTACTTACAAAGAATATTGAGCTGGTCCGTCTTGCGCGCCGTGCCCAGGGCGTTGGTCACCTCGCAGGCTATCGTGGCCGACTGGTTGCTCCTCGAGAGAACGCCCAAGGGCAAGGTGGCCCCCGCGGCGCCAGGCACCTCCTTGCCCTCGCGGAACCAGCGGTAAGTCACGTTGTTGGGGTTCGCGTCCACCTTGCACGTGACGAAAGCCTCCTCGCCCTCCTTCAACTTGGCTGCGGGGAAGGGAGGGAGAAAAGAAAATGAATTGGCTGTGGGAAAGGGAGATAAAAGAAAATGAAATGGCTGGTGGAGAGAGAAAATTTTAAAATTTGGTTGTGAGAAAGGGAGAGAAGAAGTCAATTTTAACCAGAGAGAGAGAGAGAGAGAGAGAAAAGGAGAAAAAAGACAACTTTAACATGGGAAAGAGAGAGAGAGGAAGAAAGAGAAAGAGAGGAAAAAAGAGAGAGACAGCGAGAGAAGAGAAGAGACGAAAGAGAGAGAGAGAGAGAGAGAGAGAGAGAGAGAGAGAGAGAGAGAGAGAGAGAGAGAGAGAGAGAGAGAAAGAGAGAGAGCGAGAGAAGAGAAGAGAAGAGAGGAGAGAGGGAGAGAGAGAGAGTGAGACGTTCTAAGGAAAGGGGAAGGAGAACATACTTTATATCCATGTTATAGATTTTTTTGTTCTTTTTCTTTCCTCGAGAGAAGTACAAGTGGCAAGTCCTCGTTCCATAAGTACCCCTTTGACTGTGGTTTTAGGCGCTTAAGATCAATAACAATAACCAGAATCACAACCTGTACATAACGTACGGGCGTATTTTTTTTTACCCCTTTTAACGCAAAAAGAAAATAATAAAATAAAAAAAATAAAAAAAATAATAATACCACTACTCACCGGGCGAGAAAACTAGTTGCACGTGAGGGGGATATTTCACCCTAATTACAGCCTCGGTCGTAAGGGCGGTGTTCAGAGCTGGACTAAACACCTGACAGGTAAGAGTACGCCCGTTATGGTGTCGTGTGGGCGTGAAGGTGTAAGTGAAGTTAGTGTCGATGAGTTTTCCATCTGGTCTCACCCTCCTGTGGTACTGGGTTCCTTTGGTGATGACGGAGCCCTTTTCGTCGACCCACTGCATCTAAAACGGAGGAAAAAGGAATATATATCAGTGTTGTTTAGAGGTAGCTGGACCTTTCCCGCCAACGCTTTGCATGTGAAAAAGAGAAAAAGAAAGAAAGGAAAGTTCACACACACACACACATTTCTGTGTGTGTGTGTGTGTGTGTGTGTGTGTGTGTGTGTGTGTATGTGTATGTGTATGTGTGTGTGTGTGTGTGTGTGTGTGTGTGTGTGTGTGTGTGTGTGTGTGCATGTGTGTGTGTGTGTGTGTGTGTGTGTGTGTGTGTGTGTGTGTGTGTGTGTGTGTGTGTGTGTGTGTGTGTGTGTGTGTGTGTGTGTGTGTGTATGTATGTGTATGTGTGTGTGTGTGTGTGTGTGTGTGTGTGTGCGTGTTTGTGTGTGTGTATGTGCGTGTGTATATATATGTCTCCCTTAAAGATAACTGAGCCTTTCTCGTCAACCCATTGCATGAAAGAAGAATAAAAAGACGACAATTAAAATACATTTCTATGAGAGGTCTTTGATGATGACTCAGCCTTTCTCAAAAGAAGTACAACGCATTAATATGGGATTCCTAGTTCTTAAAGTGGGCTGTACAAGAAATACGACATATCTCATCATATGAAATCTTAGACAAGAAACTAAAGACTTACATTCACAATGACTCGAATGTACAAGTAGAACGACAACAAAAGAAGACAAAGAAACAAGCAAAAGCAATTTCTCACCAATAGAGAAACTCCACGAACTAGTTAACGGCGAACAAAAACAACAACAACAAAGAACACAAACATAACAAAAGATTTACAAGGATGAAAGAGACTATATCCCACTTTACAATCAACTACGAGCAAAACGGACCGAACAAACAAAACAAACAACAGCAATAAAACAAAACCCTCAACAAGCATACAGCAAAACAACCAAACAACAAACAAACAAATAACAGCAACAAAACAAACACCAGCAGCCAACAAACAAACAAACAAACATGAACCAAATATACCTGTCCACCAGTCAACAAGCAGCAAAACAAACAAACAGAAACAACAAAAACAAACAAACAGCGACAAAACAAACCCCCCACCAACAAACAGCAACAAAACAAACACTACGCCAGTCAACAAGCAGCAAAACAAACAAAAAACAAACAAACAGCAACACCCCCCCCTCCCCAGCCAAAACAAAGCAGCAAAACCAGCAATCCAGCACAGCCTACCTCCGGCGCAGGTCTGGCCCCGTCCGTAAGGCAAGACAAGGTATAAGGCACTCCCGCCGTAGCGATGGGCATGTAGTCGATCTTCGGATACGTCGGCGTCACGTAGATCGTCAGGTGCGCGACGTCCGACCGGATGGGCTTGTCCGTGGGCGACGACACCTGGCACTGGTAGTCAGCGTCGTCGTCCAGGGTCGCTTGGACGATCCGGAGACTGAAGTCGTTTTCCTCGTCCGAGCCGATCATGGAGTACCTGGGGGGGCGGGGGAGACGGAGGGAGAGAGGTGAGTGAGGGGGGCGTTGGGGAGGGAGGGAGGGGGAGTGGGGGGGGGCGAGGGAGACGGAGGGAGAGAGGTGAGTGAAGGGGGCGTTGGGGAGGGAGTGGGGGCCTAGGGGAGGGAGTGGGGGCGGGGGGAAGGGGGAGGGGGGAGGAGTGGAGGAGAGTTGGGGAAGGGAGGGAGGAGTGGGATGGTGGGGGAGGGGGGGCGTAGGGGAAGGAGTGGGGGTGGGTGGGCGAGGGAGGGGGGGAGGGAGGTGGGGGAAGGGAAGGTTAAGGGGAGAGTGAGGGCGTCGTGGGGGGGGGGTGGGGGAAGGGAAGGAAGGAGTGGGAGGATAGAGAGAGGGAGAGGGGCGTTGGGGGTGGGTGAGGGGGGGAAGGAGGGTGATGATACTGGGAATGAGGGAATGAGGTTGAATAAAGAAAATAAAGGCAAAATAAAGAGGAGAGAGAAGAAAGCCGAGGAGGAATGGGGGTGAAATCAAAGATGAGATTATGAGGCGGCGTTTGTGGTGGGGAAGAATGAGGGGAAAACCAGGAGAGAGAGAAATGAGGGTGACATGGGGGGGGGATGAGGAGAGAATGAGGGATGAGGGACTGAATATGCCGTCGAGGAGGAGGAGGGAAAGCGAAGATAAAAATGAGGGAGAAAAACGGTGAAAATGATAATGAGAAAGACCGAATAAGGATGAGAATGAAAGAGAGGAAATAATGGGAGGGGGGCGGGGTGTAAAAATAATAAGGAGAGATGGGAAAGGAGAAAAGAATAAGAAGAGGTCACGAGGCAGAAAACGAGAAACGAGGTGAAAATCCGAGATGAAAACGAAGGAGACAGAATACGAATGATAAAGAGATAGACTAGAAATTAAAAAAAGAATAATGAATAAAAAATTGTTAAGAAATAACATAAAGAAACAGGTAAAACAAGAAAAAACACATCAAAGGAAAAAAAAAAACGGAAACAACTCAAAACAACAACGATAATAACAAAACGAAAACGAAAACGAAGAATAATGTCGTTTTCTTTGTCGGATCCAATAATGGGGTATCTATTTTAAAAACCGCAAGAAAAAGAATGGGTTAGCAGAATGTGGAGGCGGAACGAAAGCGAATGAGAATCAGACAAAAATGAATAAAATAAACAGCTAGGAAACTAAGATACTGAGGGAAAAGTGAAAAGGAAAACAGGAAGAAGAAAAGCATGAATAAAATAGTTGGAATAAAATAGGAAGAGGAGGACACTCAAAAGAAAACAGAAAAAAAAAAAAAATTGTCGATGTTTAAGAAAAAGCAAGTTCGGATTTTCAGTCTAAATTTCTATCCATCTACCTATATTTATATTCATATCCCTCTTCCCTCCCTCCTTCCCTTCCTCCTTCCCTCTCTCCCTCCTTCCCTCCCTCCCTCTTTCCCTCCCTCCCTCCTTCCCTCCATCCCCCCCTCCATAAATCTATCCATCTATCTATCCATTTATCAATACATACATATACAACGAATCAATATAACTACAGATCTTATTCCAGCTGAAAAAAATACATGATTTATATGAAAACGCGTAAATTATGGAATTTATCAAACATGCACCGATACGCTGGCGTCAAAGAGTCAGTTGTTCGTTACTAATGCATCGGGAATGAGAGAAGCGAAATGTTTTATTGCTAACGACGTCAATAGCATTACATTAAATCGAATGCCATCTATTTAGAATTTATATTTTTTTTTAACAATTCACGGACGCGACGAAACCACAAAAGTCAATTTGCATAATACAAATACGAATACATGCGTTAGAGTATTATGCTACGTCTTTTGTTTTGGTGATGTGTGTTGAACTGGAAATACGCGCTCATACACACACACACACACACACACACACACACACACACACACACACACACACACACACACACACACACACACTCACACACACACACAGACACACACACACACACACACACACACACACACACACACACACACACACACACACACACACACACACACACACACACACACACACACACACACACACACACACACACACACACACACACACATGTATGTATGTATGTATATGTACATATATATGTGTAAATATATATATACATACACATGTACACCCACACACACAAGTAAGAATGTGTATATATAAATATGTATACATATATATATATATTCATACACATGTACACGCACCCCCCCCCCCACACACACAGGTAAAAAAGGAATACATAAAAATAATGCAGAAATAACATCTTAATAAATTGAATTAAAAACGTACAGGGAAGGATGAAAAGGAAACAGCGAATAAACTTTTAAAGCAATTAGTAATAATGCAAGACTAAATGAAAGCGAGAGAGGAAGAAAGAAAGAGAGAGAGAGAAAAATAGAGAGAAAAACTTAAAATATAATAGAATCTTGCAGAGAAAACTCAAATAAAATGGAGGGAAAACCAGACTATATTTTTATCAGATTTAATAAGGCGTGCAAGGAGAAAAAGACGAAGAGGAGAAAGAAGAAGAAGAAGAAGGAGAAGAAGACGAAGAAGACGAAGAGGAGGAGGAAGAAGAAGAAGAAGAAGAAGACGACGAAGAAGATGAAGAAGACGAAGAGGAGGAAGAAGAAGACGACGAAGAAGACGAAGACGAGGAAGACGAAGAAGACGAAGAGGAAGAAGAAGAAGAAGAAGAAGACGACGAAGAAGACGAAGAAGACGAAGAAGACGAAGAGGAGGAGGAGGAAGAAGAAGAAGAAGAAGAAGACGACGAAGAATATGAAGAATAATAATTTAAATAAGAAGAAGAAGAAGACGAAGAAGACGAAGAAGACGAAGAGGAGGAAGAAGAAGAAGAAGAAGAAGAAGACGACGAAGAAGACGAAGAAGACGAAGAGGAAGAAGAAGAAGAAGAAGAAGAATACGACGAAGAAGACGAAGAAGACGAAGAGGAGGAGGAAGAAGAAGAAGACGACGAAGAAGACGAAGAGGAAGAAGAAGAAGAAGAAGAAGAAGAAGACGAAGAAGACGAAGAAGACGAAGAGGAGGAGGAGGAAGAAGAAGAAGAAGAAGAAGAAGAAGAAGAAGAAGAAGAAGAAGAAGAAGAAGAAGACGAAGAAGACGAAGAAGACGAAGAGGAAGAAGAAGAAGAAGAAGAAGAAGAAGACGAAGAAGACGAAGAGGAAGAAGAAGAAGAAGAAGAAGAAGAAGAAGAAGAAGAGGAAGACGAAGAAGACGAAGAGGAGGAAGAAGAAGAAGAAGAAAAAGAAGAAGAACAAGAAGATGAAGAAGAAGTTTATAAAAGAAGGCGTCATCTTGTGGAATAAAAAAGGTATTTATGAAATGAAGATGGAGATGAGGAAGAAGAAAAGAAAGAATAATAAGAAAATGAAAAGAAGAAGAAGAGAAAGTGCAAGAGGAAAGAGCAAGAAAATTAAAAAGAAGTAGAAAAAAGAAGAAGACGAATAGAAAGAGGAAGAGGATGGCGAAGAAGTAGAAGAAAATGAATAAAGAGGATAAAAAGAAGAGAGAAGAAGAAGATGACGAATAAGAAAAAGACAAAGAATAAGGCCAATAAAAAGAAAGAAGAAGGAGATGACGAATTAGATGAAGACAAAGAATAAAGACAAAAAAAAAGAAAGAGAAGAGTACGAATAATAAGAAGACAAAGAATAGGGAGAATAAAAAAGAAAGAAAAGAAGAACAAGAAAAAAAGGGAAAATAATAATAATAACAATAATGATAATATAGTAATAATAATAATAATAACAATAATAATAACAATAATAATAATAAAGTAATAAATAAAGGCATATTCCGATAGCCTTATAAAACGGTTTCCGTTCTCAAAAGCCACGTAAATGCCACGAGAAGTTAGGGCCTGGCGGGTATAGTACGTTAGCGCCCCCGAGGAAAAGAATTTCCAATTTCGGGACGCAATATGCAAGACAAACTATCTTGGACAACGGCGAAGGAGTCCATGAAAGTTAAGCTTCAACGAAAGGGTCAGCTGGACGACCTGAGGCATGAGGGGTGAAGTGTCGAGTTCATTCTGGTCGCACTCGGGGTCGGGAGAGTTACTGCTCGCGGAGTGAACGGAGGCGCGGAAGAGCATGGCGAGTTCGGGACCAGCGTGGTGTTGTGTGTCTTCATGTTAAAGGACTTGAGGAACTGCGCTGGAGAGGGACAGCTCTCTGTCTCTATCACTGGCACGGTTTCTGTTTCTGGCATTGTCATTGTCGCTCTCTCTCTCTCTCTCTCTCTCTCTCTCTCTCTCTCTCTCTCTCTCTCTCTCTCTCTCTCTCTCTCTCTCTTATTCTGTCTGTTTATCTGTCTGAATGTCTGTCTGTCTATCTATCCGTCTGTCTACCCTCCTCTCTCTCTCTCTCTATCTGACTTTGACTCTGCATCTCTCTCTCTCTCTCTCTCTCTCTACATCTCTCTCATCTCTACATATATATATATATATATATATATATATATATATATATATATATATATATATATATATATATATATATATCCACTAAACACACAATACTTACACGTTTTGACTTCACAATAGCAGCATCAGGAGCGGAACATAGTAAAGTATACGATAATGCATTTGATTGATAGTAATTGCATAATACTGTTTACCGCCTTTGACTGCAACAAGCGCTCGATTAGACAAATAAATCGTCAGTCCTTTGAGAGTTTTTGAAAAGAGGAATCAATGGTAAATAACAGGTCTAGCTTGACGGAAAAGGTCACGCTGAATTGAAAGTGACGCTGGCTGCATGAAAAGATGATAAACCATGAATTTCTTAGATACAGGCGTTCAGATAACGGCAACTTTCATTGATACAAGTGTTTTTATATATATATATATATCTATAATTCAAAGGCACATCTAAGCCAACTGCTTATTCTACTTATTTATTTTTTGATGTACAAGGATACGATGTGTCAGAGGAGCACTGATATATTACTACAAACACGAATCAACGTGTGTAAGGGAAGGCGCTGAATTATTCATGCTATCTAAAATACAGTTAATTATACAAGAACTGCCAACCTAGCTCAAACATTCGCGTTCCGGCATCACTGGACTTCAGAATCAGCGTATCGGAGTGTTAGAAAAAAGCTCTTGAATAGAATAATTGAGTTATCTTTATCGGTATAAGTTTCAACCGGCGGAGGCCCAATGTGTTGCATTTGTCTTTATATTTGTATAATCTAATAGAATCACAACTATGAGAATAATGATAAGGACTTATTGAAGATTTTTTTTTTTTTTTTGTATTCTGCCAATGGTATTAATATTCCCATCTAATATGTCCTTATATCAGGGTTAAGGACGTCTTAGAAGTTTGACTATAATTGCCTCAGTTATTATCTATGTATTTGTATGATCCGTATCTTTTCACTTTCATAATAAAAGAACTGAATCATTATGCAACGCACAGGAAAACTAGGTACTAAATACTACATTCACAATCTGTAGAAGTCTTACATACATATGCATACATATATACATACATAAATACATACATACATACATACATATTATGTAATGTTTAAGAAAACTAGTTGTTAAATATTCCATTTATAAATACAAAGACACGTTCTCTAGAGTGGACGATAAAATGCAGGAAAGAAAGAAAGAAAAAAAAAAGAGAGAAAAAAATCCGTTTTGCACAACCCCCCCTCCCCCCTCCGCTCCCGCTAGTGTCTCCGAAAAAGTTTTGAAGCGAACTTTCGATATTGCGTCCTCGATTTTTTGACTGATTAGCCGTAATGGGTCTTGGGTTTAATTTTTCCAATCACAGGATTATCAATAAAACGTTTTTTTTTCGTTTTTTTTTTATAAGAATATGGCTGGCGATTCCTAAAATGGATATTTTTTTTTGTAGGTTATTTCAAATTTTATCGATTTGTCTGTCTGTCTCTGTCTTTTTTCTCACTTTCTCTCTTTCTATCTCTATCTTCTTTTATCCTTCTTTCTATATCTCCCTCTATCCTTCTCTATATATTCCTACCCTGCTCCTTCCTCTCTCTCTCTCTCTCTCTTTTCTCTTTTTTCTCTCTCTTTTCTCTCTTTCTCTCTTCTCTCTCTTCTCTCCCTCCCTCCCTCCCTCTCTCTCTCTCTCTCTCTCTCTTCTCTCCCTCCCTCCCTCTCTCTCTCCTCTCTCTCTCTCTCTCTCTTCTCTCCTCCCTCCTCCTCTCTCTCTCTCTCTCTCTCTCTCTCTCTCTCTCTCTCTCTCCCTCCTTCCCGCCCTCCCTCCCTCCCCCCTCTCCCCCCCCATCTCTCTCCATCCCTCCCCCTCTCTCAGGATTTGCTGATGAATTCACGGTCAATAACATTGTTCCGTGAGCCTCTTTGGGGATTGATATAGTGTTCAAGCTGTGAAAAACATAAAAGCACTTTTGATGTAACAACTCTTTCTCGAGGCTTACGTGTGCTTTATTCGTTCATCATGTGTGAGTGTGCAGGTGTGTGTGCAGGTATGTGTGTGTGTTTGTGTGTGTGTAGGTGTGTGTGTAGGTGTGTGTGTTTAGGTGTATGTGTATATGTGTGTGTGTGTGTGTGTGTGTGTGTGTTTGTTTGTGTGTGTGTAGGTGTGTGTGTTTAGGTGTATGTGTATTTGTGTGTATGTGTGTGTGATTGTTTGTGTGTGTGTAGGTGTGTGTGTTTAGGTGTATGTGTATTTGTGTGTATGTGTGTGTGTGTGTTTGTGCGTGTGTGTGTGTGTGTGTGTGTGCGTGTGCGTGTGCGTGTGCGTGTGCGTGTGCGTGTGTGTGTGTGTGTGTGTGTGTGTGTGTAGGTGTATGTGTGTGTGTTTTTTCAGATGGACGCGTTTGCCTTTTTCTCTCTCTCGGTCACGCACGTTACAAATCCATACAAATCGCAGTGTTACTACAAGTGTTTCTATTTACCAAACAGTTTGTCTTACATCACTCCATCAACATATCCGTCCATAACGTGTTTGCAGGTCAACGTATAACCATCTATCACCGAATCAATAGTCTCAAATATAGAAAGAAATGTAGAGGTAATCTATAAATGCTCTCGACTACTGTAGCTAATAATTCTGCCAAAAATGTCTGCACTTTGTAAGGTACTGAGATATGAGACAACAAGTGGATATAGCACAGTAGTCTTCAATCATCATAAGACTTGCAAACGCATCATAAACATGGCGAAAATATGTCCAGACGAGGGACACATAAATCGAGACAAAAGCTAACATGGCATGTGTAGCTGTGAATGCCATTAGCTGTTGAAGAGTAATGAGTATTTTCATAATTGAGCATTTAAGTGTTGAATACGCGCGGCCCTATCAATGTTAATAATCTGCATCTGGACAAGGGACGTGAATGCAACTCCACGGAGGAGCGTCTTGACATATGACTATAATGGAATGTAGAATTCTGACTAAAGGAAACAGGCTTTGGTTTTCAGTGCTGGACTTGTATGAGGGAGCTTGACGGAGAAGGAAAATACATAGGGATGAGTATGTCTTTCTGTGTCTGTCAGTTTGCATCAATATCTGTTAGTCTATCTGTCCATCTATCTATTTGTTTATCTATCTATCCATATATCTACCTATTTATCTATCTATCTATCCATCTACCTACCTATTTATCTATCTATCTATCCATCTGTCTACCTATTTATCTATCTATCTATCCATCTATCTACATATTTATCTATCTATCTATCTGCGTAGACCTATATCTGTTTTTTTTTCTATCTATCTGTACATATGCATTTGTTTATCTATCCAACTATCTGTCCTTCTGTCTCCATATATACATATTCAGTCCAGCCAGCTCAAACAAATCGCCTCGCCCCCGAAAGAAGAAATAAATAAATAAATAAACAAATGACTAAATATATAACTAAGTAAAAAAAAAGTTAAATTAAATAAACAAACATAAAAATAGAATAAACAAAATATAAAAAGAAACATATAAACATATGAACACTAAACAAATAAAAACAAACATATGACAATAAACAAATAAAGATAAACAAGTTAACAAATAAATATAAACAAGTTAACAAATAAATATAAATAAGTTAACAAATAAAAATAAACAAACAAACATAAAAACTAAAACAAGTAAACATAAAAATAAACAAATAAATAAAAAATAAACAAGTAAATATAAAATCAAACAAATAAAGACATAAAAGATAAACACACACAAAAAAAACAACAACCAAGCATTCGAACCTCCACGCGAGGCCCGACCCCCAACGACGCCCTTCCCCGAGCCTCACCTGCTGAAGCCCTCGAGGTCCCTGGTGGTGCCGAGCCCGAAGCCGTCCTTCGTCCACTGAACGAGGCCGTGGAAGTTGAGCACGCGGCAGGGCAGGACCACCGTGCTCCCTGCCACCGCCGTCTGGTGCGAGGGCATCGTGGCGAACGTCTGCTTCTGCTCCTGGCTGTTGCCGCTCGCAGGGGGACAGCGGAGGGCGAGCAGCAGGCAGGCGGCGGTCGCGAAGAGCATGCCTGGAGGAGGGGAAGGAGGCGTTAGAGATTAGTTTGTTTGTTTGGGGGGTTGGATGGCGTCGGAATAAGGTATGGGTGGGTGGGTGGGATGGTGGGTGCGTGGGTTTTTGGGTGGGTGGGTGGGTGGGTGGGTAGGTGGGTGTATGGGTGGATGGATGGATAGATGGATGAATGAATGATTGAATGAATGAACGAACGAACGAACGAACGAATAAAGCACAAAACAAAACATGCTTCTTAAATAAACAACAATCAATAAGTTTAATAAAAAGCATCTTATTAATAGTGCCATTTAGCATCCCCGGTTTTTTCTCATCGTCTTTATTATCACTAAAAACGGAATTCTTGGAAAATACGATATCAAAGAAGACAGGAAAAAAGAAACGAAGGGAAATGAATAATGGTGATTATGATAATAATGATGAAGAAGATGATGATGATGATGATGATGGTGAGGGTGATGGTGATGGTGACGATGATGATGATGATGATGATGATGATGATGATGATGATGATGATGATGATGACGATGATGATGATGATGATGATGATGATGATGATGATGATGATGGTGATGGCGATGGTGACGATGATGATGATGATGATGATGATGATGATGATGATGATGATGATGATGATGATGACGATGATGATGATGATGATGATGATGATGATGATTGATAAAGATGATGATAATAATAAGTGTTAAGAAGGAGAGAGAGAAGCAGGGGCGGAAGGAAACAGAAGTAGAGAGAAAACAGAGCTAAAGGCAGAGGTAGAGAGAAAGGCGAAGAAGAAAAAGATGAAACAGGGACAGAACTGCGAACCAGGAGGAGGGCAAATAAAGATTGGTATGAAAACAGAAGGAGAGAGAACGGAGAAATAGTGAAGCAGAAAACACATGGGGAAAGGCCAAACAGGGCGCTAAAGGTGAAGGAAAGGAGAAATCGAGAAGAAAACGGATAGAGAGAGAGAAAGAAATAGAGAGATGGGAAGCAGAAGGAGAGAGAACGGAGAGACAGAACGACAGAAAGATAAAGAAGACGTAGAGAAGCAGAAAGCAGAGGGGAAAGGATAATTAGACAAACAGAAAACAGAAAGAGAAAATAGGACAAACAGACAAACAGGAAGCAGAAAGGAAAAGAAAATTAGACAAACAGAAAGCAGAACGAACAGAGAAGAAGAGAAGAAAGCAGAAGCAGAAAAGAACGGAGACTTAGAAAAAAAAACAGAAAGCAATAGGAACGGAGAAGAGAATCAGAAAGCGGAAGCAGAAAGGATTGGATAATTAGACAAACAAAAAGCAGGAAACACAAAGACCAGAAAAGGAGAGAATCAGAAAGCGGAAACAGAAGGGAGAGAATAATTAGACAAACAGAAAGCAGAAAACGCAAAGACCAGAGAAAGAGAGAATCAAAAAGCAGAAACAGAAGGGAGAGAATAATTAGACAATCAGAAAGCAGGAAACACAAAGACCAGAGAAAGAGAGAATCAAAAAGCGGAAACAGAAGGGAGAGAATTATTAGACAAACAGAAAGCAGAAAACACAAAGACCAGAGAAGAAGAGGAGCAGAATGCAGAAACAGTTTGAAACACAGGGATAACTAGCCCTCGCTGTTGACAATTCCGTAAGCCAGAGAGGCTGTGGATGTCAAGTTTAACACTACGTATTTTCCTCAATAGTCGCTCCGCTTTTCCTGGCTATTAGAGGACGTTTTCTATGT